TTGCCTCTGCAGAAATATCTGCAGTAAATTGAAAGTAATTTGGCCATTGTTTTCCCACGCAACAGCCAACGGTTCTGCTCAATTCTCATCTCCCTCCACTGATCTTCACTGATTTCTCTCTTTGTGCTTGATTTCTTTGGCTGAATTTCAACTAACCCAATCAAAATGTGAATGATGTCAACTTTGTACGCTTTTTTTTATAACAGTAGTCTCCCTAGATACGTTTGAAGTTTGGCAAAAGTGAACAAGGTCAATCAGTCTGCATTGGCCACGCCTCTAAACATATTCCTCAGAGCAAGAGGAATGTTTAAGATGTTTTATTGCTAGCAAAGATGTTATGGACCTACTCACAACCGGGTTGTTTACACGCACGCAATTTCTGGTAAGCTTCACAGAGTGGACGCATTTGTAACCCACGTGACCGCCACGCCCCAACCACCTTCCCTTTAAGCCGTCCCTTTAACAGCTGGGACCCTCATGTGTATTTCCGGGTTTTCCACTGTGCTGCTGCTCACTGTTGGTTGTGGCGTCGGTTGTTAATAAAACAATCTCAAACCTCCAACTCGACTCATCGCTGAATAAATTCATCCCTAAAACTCGAGGATCTGCGGTGAGTTAAGTACCATCTGAACTTGACGTTGTATCAGCAATACTAGCGCCGCTAATATATCCGCTGTAATACTCACCAGGTTGGGCTTTGTTGATGCCTGATTTACCTTCTGATGAGAACAAGTAACATCCACTTCCTCAGACAATCCGTTACTCGACGGTGAGTAAATAGTCATCCATATATGATGGGGCGTTATTTCCGCTGTGTGCCGCCAGTTAGCATTAGCTACCAACTCGACAATCAGTTGCCTGCATGAGTTCAGTGAACTTACTAATTACTTACTTAATAAAAAGTCACACTGTTAAGGCCGAATTGAAGGCCACACCTTTAATATTTAAAGGCTTCCCTTTCAACTTTAGATTTGATTATTTTTCATGATTTCTTTGGTTATTGTTGTATTCCATGCTGGTGCATCTATGAAGTCTGGTACCTAATATGATTTCGTTTGTAGCTACTTTGATCAATCACATTCTTAAAGTTGATTGATTTGATTTATTAGCTGTTTGTAGCGACTGCTAATTACCTTGAGAAATTTTGAACTTGAATTACGAAGTGCACTTTTCTTTTTAAAAGGACTTTTTTTCCCTTATTTTCATAAAGTATGAAGTGGTTGTCAATACATAGCAGTATGTATTTGTTTTTTTTTCCCATTTAGCTTATATAAATATAACATTTATATATGAATTTAATGTATGTTTTCTGGCCTTTTAGGTCAGGTTTTTTTTTCTCCCCCTTCGACGGAGGATGGCGAGCTACCCACACACCACCTGGTGGTAGGAAAAAGAGACACTTTCCACACAGGAAAACCAAACGACACTTTCCACACAGGAAAACCAAACGACACTTTCCACACAGGAAACAAAATAAACTCTAAGGGAGTATCTAAAGGAAAAGAACAATTCTCCCGTTGCTCTTGGACTTTTGAACTACATTTAGTTTTGAAGTATTATTTCTTTGTTGGGTTGGGTTTTTTTTCCCGTCCTTGTTTCTTTTGAACAAATTATTTTTGTTTAGTTTGTTTGTTAGTATTATTATTATTATTATTATTGTCATTATTATTATCATTATTATTTCTACTGCAATAAATAGCAATACAAACAAAGCTCTTCGCATCAGTTGCATCAATTATCCACCCAATCATGACTCCATGCCGTACCTATTTCTGATTTTATAAAGTGGTTAACACTAAGCCCTGCAGTCAGACCTGCGCACTTAATAAGAGCGTTACACATTACGTAAGTCATGCCAAATGTTAGCGATTGG